TGAAAAAGGAGTTGGTGAGGACTGAGTGCAGGGGAAGTAATAAGTCACTTCATTTCTTCTTACGTCAGAGCGATACTTCTCCTGTCCCTTTCCCAAACCTAGCTACGTAGTAAACACTCTCCCTGCTTGGTAGAGTAGAAATTTCCTATCAATTACTTTGGTCAAATTCCACCACTATATCAAAACAGTCTTACTCTCTCCTTTGTAAGCATAATCTTATATTTTACCCCTGCTTTCTCCTGAGTAGAAGATAAACTGATCATCTAGATCAAAATAGACTCTAAAGTAAGTAGATTGTAGTTAATAAAGATCCAAATGGACTCTAAAGCAAGTAGATTGTAGTTAATAATTGTCCTCTGTCTAGCTTTTATAAATTTGCAATAGAGTAGATTATGTGCACAGTGATATTACTAGTACAACCTAATTTCAGGTTGTAAAAAGAATCTCAGTGTTTCTAAATGCTTTAAAAGGGTGCTTTTCAACTTTTAACGTTTCATTATTACATTATTTTGTCACTTTCTGAAAAGAGAAGTGATAAAGGAAAATAATTATTTTTGTTTTTTTCTTTTAATTTTTAATCTTTAGTGGGTACATAATAGTGTGTACATTTATGGGGTACATAAGATATTTTGATACAGGCATACAATGTGTCGTAATCGCATCAGGGTAAATGGCGTATTCTAATACTTCAAACATTCATCCTTTCTTTGTGTTACAAACATTCCGATTATACCCTTTTAGTTACTTTAAAATGCACAATGCATTACTGTTGACTGTAATCATCCTGTTGTGCTATCAAAGACCAGATCCTATTGATTTCATCTAACTATATTTTTGTACCCATTAATCATCCTTATTTCCCGCCCCCATTCCCCACTGCAGCACAGCCTCTGGTAACCATCTTTGTGCTCTCCAGCTCCATGAGTTCCACGATTTTAATTTTTAGCTCCCACAAACAAGTGACAACATGCAAAATTTGGCAAACAGGTATATGAAAAGAAGCTCAACATCACTGATCATCAGAGAAATGCAAATAAAAACTACAATAACATATACGCTCACTCCAGTTAAAATGGATTTATCCAAAAGACAGGAAATAACAAATGCTGGTGAGAATGTAGACAAAAAGGAACTCTCCTCACACACTGCTGTGGAAATACAAACCAGTACAGCCACTATGGATGTGAGTATGACGTTTACTCTGAAAACTGAAAATAGAACTACCAGAGCCACCAGATAATCCAGCAGTCCCACTGCTAAGTATATACCCCAAATTAAGGAAATTAGTTTATCAAAGAGATATCTGTGCTCTCATGTTTTTTGCAGCACTATTCAGAATACCCAAGACTTGGAAGCAACCTAATTTTCCATATACAAACAAATGGATAAAGAAAATGTGGTATGTACACACAGTAGAGTACTGTTCAGCCATAAAAAGAATGAGATCCTGTCATTTGCAACAACATAGATGGAACTGGAGGACATTCTGCTAAATGAAAGAAATCAGGCACAGAAAGACGTACCTTTACTATAGAAATATCCAGTGATCCCACTTTGACTATATGTCCAAACTTAGCATTGTTGTAGTGAGATCCCTTGACATTGTGCAATATAAAGTATGTAACATCATCTCTGGAATAGTTTTGCCAAAACAATTTAACCAAAATCCAAACAAGCCCTTGGACCTAACATCTTGTCTAATGGAAATATATGAGATAGTCATAAGTTAAATCTCACCACAAGGGAAAAAACAAACAAATCTAACATTTGGGACATTATACAAGAAAACTGATGTGGTATGTTTTTAAAAAGTCAAAGTTAAGGGGAAAAAAAGGTTGAGGACTGTACTTGCATAAAATAGCTAAAGTAACAAGAATCAAGTCCAGTGTGTGAAGTTTGGTTGGATTGTTTCAGAAAAAAACTACAAACAATATTTTGTTGACAATTTAAAAATTTTGAATATGGATTGAATGTTGGATGCTATTAAGAAAATACAGTTAATTTTCTTAAAAGTAAAAGGAGTATTAAGGTTATGTAGGGAAGTGCTATCTTTTTTGGAGATACAAGTAGACATGTTCAGGAGTGAAATGTTATGTATGTCTGCAATGAACTTAGAAATAGTTCAGCAAATGGGTAGTGGAATATGAGCTATCAGTTTTCTTTCAGCCTTTTTTAGTCAGTTCTTGCACTGCTATAAATAAATACCTAAAACTGGGTAATTTATAGAGAAGACAGGTTTAATTGGCTCACAGTTCTGCAGGCTGTACAGGAAGCATGAGGAAGGCCTCAGGAAACTTTCAATCATGGCATAAGGGGAAGCAGGCACGTCCTACATGGCCAGAGCCGGAGGAAGAGAGTGAAAGGGAAGTGCTATACACTTCTAAACAATCAGATCTTGTGAGAACTCAGAACAGCAAGGGGGAAACCCACTTCTATGATCAAAGCACCTCCTCCAGTCCTCTCCTCCAACACTGGGGATTACAATTTGACATGGGATTTGGGTGGGGATACAAATCCAAACCATATCAGAGCTTCTCTGCATGTTTGAAAATGATTTCAGAGTAAAATATTTGGAAGTGGTGGTAAGGCAAAGGAAAGAGTGCCATGAACAAATGAATGTTCCTTCTTCACTGGCTGCATGGCATAGTTTAGTTTCACCTTACCTAAATTTCCCTGGAGAATCCACTTAACATCTTTGTAGCTTCAGTTTCTTTGGTTCTTTTTAAGTGTATCTCCTTATAAAGTTCATGTTTATAGACATGTTTGTCATCCTGACTTTTTAAGAAGCATTGTAAGGAGCAATGACCAATACTGAAATGTGGCTCCTCCCTCGGGCTTACTTACAGATTCATCTTAGAGTAAAATGCCAGAAAGAACCTTCAAGAATATTCCTCAGGGCAAAAATCTGTCCGCAAAGTCACTCCCCTAGTCACACCTTTCATGCTTTAATTCTAAATCTGGTACTCCTGGGCTCTGTCACACCACCAAGACTCTCTGAACTTCAGTGTTTTAAATTTACAAGGTGGTTACGCTGGCTGCCCTGCTCACTACATGTGGCTTCTGTGCACCCAGTGAGAGATGCATAAGAATGTGATCTGAAATCTGCCAAGCACACACAGATTTTATGATTATTTAATCAGGTACCTCAATAAGAATAAGCAGGTTTCTCATTTTACACGGTCACATTTCTTGCACCACATTCATCCTATGAAACTTTGTTTTATATGTTTCCTGGAATTCAAAATATCTATGAACTATTTATAACTTTTATTCTTTTTCATTTTTTCTTCATGACAATGACAATGTTTAATATGTTCTTACCTACTTCATATTCTTGGAGTGTGCTCACAGTGTCCTCTAGAAATGGGAAAAGTTGTGTCTTTTTGGTGGGAGGGTCCATTTTTGAGTTAAAAAGCAGGAAGCGTTTCGTAACTTTCATCACAGAAGACTGTAGTGAAGGAGCTGGTCTTAACACCTAATGGTTTCCTCTTTTTGCTACAGGCTATGCTGCCTACATTGGATACATCTGCACTAATCGGCAAGTTGATCTTGTAACTTTTCCAAGATCACTGTAATTTTGTCAGGGGCAGGGTGGGGACATCGAGAGATGCCTTTTAAAGCAGCTGGTTTGAATCTTTGGGGTCCCTGTTGCCAAAGTCTGTCCCTTTCTTGCTGTGTGTTGTTGTGCAATAGCCTCCCCTCAGCCCCACACCCAGACACCAGCTGGGCATGGGGAGGAGTGCAAAGAGGGTGGGGAGCATGAATCCAGGCCAAGGGGGTGTCAAATAACAAAACCAAGTGACCCAACCACTGCATCATAGAAAAGAACATTTTGAACTTCCGTTAACACGACTGAACAGTATACATCATTTAAAAAGAAGTATTTCAATGAACTTGCTATCAGGCTAATGTTTGTTTGACTGTTATGGCATTGCTTCCCTTCCTATTATTTCCAAACTTATTTATTTTAGTAGTATATGTTTGCCATTTTATAAGCTAGGCACTTATTTATCTGAGACTGTTATCTGAGTGCTAATAGAGATTCCTGATCATTGTAGATGGTCAATAAATGTTTCATGATGATGATGATGATGATGATGGTAAGTTTCATGAAATATTTTCTAATTCCATGTGATTATGATGAAAATTTCCCTATTTAGTATTGCTTAGGGAGTGGACTTCGAGAACCATATTACTGCAATGACCATACCTGAGACTTGTGGTTGAATTATTAGAATAGATACATGCCCTTTATTAATCGAATATTTACAACTTGAACCAAAACTAACAAAGGATTATTTTAGCTTTGTAAAGATCCATTTATCTAATTTCTGATTGATTTCAACATGTATAATATCCTTTTCCCTCTTTCTCATCCCAAATCCTGCAGCAAGCAAAAATAATCATTGAAATGTAACTTAACCATCAAAGAAAAAATATATCATTTTTGTAACAATTTATAGTTTTCATAATATGAGTCTCCAATTCCAGTATGTTTTATAAAGACTTACAAGATTTATAACATTGGTGTTTTTTAAAGTTAAACACATTGTTATCATTGACTACTTACATCTGGCCACGTGCAGTTTCATTTATAGGCTTTATATGATGATCTCAAAATTCTAAAGTATAAACCAGAGTATGTATCAAATAACAACAAATGGACAGGAAAATCTTTATATGCCTTACAAATCCAAGTCAAATAGTAATAATACTATCTATACTCTTCTCTGTCTAGTACTTTGAAATTTGTTAAATAGATATTTTGAGTTTCAGGGACAGTCTCAATTTCACATCATTTATTCTCATAACTAAATCAAACTTATTAACTGTAGTTTTATAAAATGTTAATATAATTGAATTTTTAACTTACAAAAAATACCTTGTTATACAGTGTCTCCACTCGTCAGTTTAGAAAAGATGATCAATATATCAAAAAGCCATTTGCAAAACAATTCTAATTTCATTTTAATCTCCAAGATAATGATTCTGTTTTCCTCCTCAGATCTCTGGATCTTATTCTCTGCCCCTCAAACACATTGCAGAGAAGAATGTAAGTTCTTTGTACTTTAGATGAATTATTTCAACTTTAAGATCTCTTGGGATTATTTGAATGGACGCTTGGAAGCACTAGGGCTTTCCTGAGACCTACTGCTACATTGTGAAGAAAATCATGCTTTACCTAGTGTAAGCATAGCCCTGCTACCTGAGTCCCTGGATCAGAGTGGCATCTCCTCACCTGTGGCTGTGGCTCCTAATCAATCATGACTCTTTCCCACTGAGCCCAGACAGACTCTTAGAATTCTTCTTACCGCAGTGCCCTAGTCAGTCAATACTGACTGATCGAGGATCACAAGCATGACAAAATTTATTTTCCTCTTCATTGGTAGACTAAGGACCTGTAAGAATATTTGGCCTAAATTTCTGATACCTGGCCAAGAAAAGCTAAGTTAGCACCCGAAGTGATTGAGCAGTTTTGCTGAATATATTTTTGAATGGCATAAGAAAAGAGTAATAAAGCATAGCAAAAGATACATAAATCCTCATTTATGTATTTACATTGCCCAAATATAAATGTCAAGAATGGGTGCATAGGGCTGGCTTGGCATTTACTGTGGCACCAGGGGTTTATCTGTGACTCAATACAGGGCAAGCAAAACTGATTATTTAGATCCTAACCCATTAGGATCATTAACTAACTGAAAAGTTCCCATAATTTGCTCAGATAAGCAATGGGAGCCATTAGAAACCTAATTGATGCCAGGAACATGGTAACAAAACAAGTGGCAATCAAAAATTATATCATGGGGTTATAATATTTTTTTCTCAAAACCTTTACCCATAATTCTCAACGGTCTTTACCTTTAGTTTCTCCAAGCTTTCCTCTCCTGTATCCCACCCTAGATTTGCCTTTCTAAGCATCATTTCACCACATTTCTTCTATACTCCATCAAGACCCTGATTTGTAAAACTCAAAACCCCTTCACTGGATTTTCAAGGTTCTCCACCATCCAGCTGAAACATACCTTTATTGTCCTAAATGCTGTCCTCCAGATGTGCCTTGTGATTTTTCTACCTGAATGCCTTTTCTCATCTCATTTCTCATATCTGAAAGGCCTTTCCACTTCATTCATTTCAAATGCTATTCATCATTCAAAGTCCAAGGCAAATCCCACCTTGTCCATGAAACCTTTCTAAGATACCGCAGGCTACAATGGTCTCTCTCACAGAGCTCAATATATTTAATATGGTTAATTTTTTCATATTAATTGTTAAGGATTCAGGAAGTTCCATAATTATGTCAGGCACTGACCCTAGGGGATGACAAAAGCTAAGTAGTTAAAGATCCAGGCATGATAATTCATGTCCACTGTAGCTGGAGCTTGTTTGTATCTCAAAGAAAATTTTTGAACCTTTTCTTCTTTCAGAAGTAAGCTTGTTGTTCCCACCCTTGAAAGAGGCCAGGCTTAGCACTGGAATCACACTTAGTACTAGCCTATATAGAATTCTGTTTCCCAGCTAGAACCACAAGTAATACATGTGTAGCTAGGGAAAAGTTTTAACTGCTGCATTCATAATACTTTGAAAGATTTGTAATGGTACAGGACTGTAGGAGTAAACAGAATTTGAACTAGAATGCTGTTGTTTAGTTCTAGACTCTTTTGTCTGCTCCATCCTGTTGTCTGAGAACTTATAAACCCATGTTATCAGTCATCGTATATTACCTTGAAAGAATACCACATAAGAATAAGCTGGGTATTTTTCTGCTATAGTTTCTCTGTGGCAAGCAATGGAGACTAACTCTAAGTTAAAAGCAAAAGATAATTTGTTGAAAGGATAGAGAGTAGGACATTCATCTACTGGAGAGAACACCCAAGTAACAAACTTAAAAAGGACCAAAAAAACAGTCCAACTCTGAGATTCTATGTAGCAAAAACTATCGCCGAAGTTCTCTGGGCACCACCACTGTGTTGGGACAGCACCAATCATTTTTATTTCATTTTGTTTCACTCCATTTTCAAATCCCTAAAAGGAAAAGTCCAGTAGTATCACTGTAGGTCACTTGCTCAGCCTTGCATATCTTGATTCAGAGGCTCATCAAGGTAGCGCTCAATGGCAAAGAAATCATTCTCCACAAACAAATATGGGTGAACTTGTCAGAATAAGAGAGAATGGGTGTGGGAAAGGAAACACTAACACATAGTAATCACAGTTTGGAAGAATTTTCCAGGAGAAGAAGTTGGCAAACTACTAGAATGTATTAAATGAATGCATTGGCTCTTGGGAAAATTTCAATATAAAAAATTTATATATTTTTAAATTTTCTGAGACAATAACTTTACCTGGGGCTGATAGAATAACCAGCTGACCTGTTGAATGCCATTTTTCTGACTCCATTTCTAAGCTCTTTAAAGTCTTTTTTAGCTATCTCTGCTTGCATGTAATCCAGCTAAATTTCCAGGGGCCTTTTATTTCTTTAGGTCAGGCTGGACTTACCATTCCCCTTCCATTAACCTTTTAGTTCATCTGCTTCTTGTGTCTGTCATCAGCTGTAGGAGATGCTGATTATGTTAGGAGCCTCTGGAAAAGGGGATGAGACAGAGAAGCACCAAAAGATAAGGAGACCAACAAGAAAAAGATTAAAAACCTCTCAGCACTAAGTAGTTAGGGCAGAGTACTGTTGCAAACCTCTGCAATTGTTGGCTTTGGATGGGGGAGGATGAATCAGTTTAGATAGCTCAGGAATGGGCTTGAACCTTTGCCCAGACTTCAGAATGAACCACCAAAAAAACCTCAGAGTTTTCCCAAATTAAGACATTGAGAAAAATATTAAAAGTAAATTTCCCTTCCTTTCCCATCTCTCCATCCCTAGGGGATAGCTGGGACCACAAGGCAATTTATTAATAATAACGAATTAGATTTTCAGTACAAATTCCCTTCTGGCCATTTTGATGTGTCAGAAATACTTTACAAATGTTAAGTACAGCAATTAATCTCTTGAAAAAGGGAGGGAGAAGAGCTTTCCCAGCTGTAGATTTTAGTAATTTCATTTAGTTAAGATTTTGTTTGCTCTTATTTTCTGCATTAGGATGTGTTTTCCTGGAAAGTCGGTCATCAAATATTTATTGATTGCCTACAATTTCCCAAGCATTGTGCCTGGTGCTAGGGATGCAGAGTGAACCCTGTAAACCATGGTGCTACTCTCCTGGAGCTTCTAGAGAAGCTCACCAACTAATTTAATGTGTGAATTCCATTTGCTCAAACATCTAGTCACTGAATGTAATGCAGAACTTTATTTTCCTCCTTTCATATTTTATGTTTTATTAGGCAGGACGGGCAATAGGGGAATTATAAAATCTGAATAGTTTTTTTTTCTTGGCATTTAACTTACGTATGGTCCAATTCTTCTTTAACCTCAGCATCAGGAAGCATGGTTACCACCACTATTTCAGTGATTAGAATTCGTGTAAGTTAATGAGATGACTCTTTCAACTTTTCACTCTAGTTTGAGTGGGCAAATCAGCATATTGAATGTATCCATCTTGACCTGTCTTCGTAGAGCTATAATAGCTTTGAATGATACCTGGAGGAGCTTGAAACATGTCCAAATCCCAGATGATGGCTTTTGGCAATCAGCGCTTAAACACCTCTCATTTTCTAGTCCAAATGTGGGATGCAGACAATCCTCTTTTGTTCGGATTAAATCCAACTACTCATATTTTCCCGGACTCTCCTCAGATACTATTCCTATTACCACCTACTCCATCTCATTGAAAAGGGGAAATGTCTCTATAAACTGCTACCAAATGTGAGGTAGCTTGCATTCCTAGCTTGAGAAGCTATTTTCTGTTATGTTATTTGTATTCTTCGGAAATTATGCCTTGTGGCATAATTAGAGGGATTTTTAGTGGTGACTAAATTAGTCCCTGACTCTGTGAAGGTTTATGTGTAGGTTATTCTAGAAAGTTGGTTATGTTTTTCTAAGAAACTTCTACAAGCTTCTAAAACTCTATCATAATTAATATGATGTGTTCCTTGTTTAGATCTTACCTGTAATGCTTGAAAGAATGGCCAGAACTCCGAAAGATAAAGCTACTATTTGATTTGATTCAATTTATTGAGTGTGATTTGTTATCTTTATGATCAACTCAATTACCTAATTTGGAGAGCACCTGCTATGCTTCGTTCACTGTGGTAGAGCTCCAGGATAGAGAGATGATGTTAGCTGAGAGTCTAGTGGAAAAAAATGTAAACAAATACATAATAATAAAACATAAATGCAACAATATAAATATTTACCCTTCATAGTAGTGGGACAGAAAGAAGAGTAACTAATTCGATTCAGGGAGAAAAGTAAATCAAAGAAGATCTCAGAAGAGAGAAATTTCAAGGAGGTATATCAATTTGCTATTGCTGCAAAATAAATTGCCCCAGACTCAATGACTTAAAGCAATACCCATGTATTATCTCACAGTTCTATATTTCAGAAATCCAGACATGGCTTAGCTAGAGCCTCTGTTCAGGGCTTCACAAGGCTATAGTCAAGGTGTTGGCCAGGGCAGCAATCTCATGTGAGGCTTTGTTGTCAGAATTTAGTTCCTTGTGATTATAGGATTGAGACCTTTAGCCACATAATTCTTGCCAAATGGCCCTCTCCTAAACATGGCAGTTTGCTTCTTTAAGACCAGGGTTGAAACATTTGCTGCTGCTTCCATCTCTGACTTTTCAACCTCAGGGCTCACCTGATTAGGTCATGCCAGCCCTGGAAAATCTTCATTTCCACTAACTTAAAATCAGCTGAGTAGAGACTTTAATTACATCTGTAAAACCCCCCATTATGTCATATGAAAGAATCTAATCACAGGAGTAGTATCCTCTCACGGTCACACATCTCACCAGCACTCAGTGGGAGGGGATTGTACAAGGGTGTGGCTCTTTGGGGTCATTTTGGAATTCTGTTTACCGCAAGTAGGTTTTGATAGCTAAATAGGATTTTTCCAACTGGACAATGGGTGAAAACACATAACTGGCTGATACAGCAGAGGTATATGA